TATAAAAAGGAACCAAATGAAAACCACAGAATTTAATAGACAATTGGTTATAGAAAGTAAAAAATAAATAAATAAAAGAAAATCAGATAACTGAAAAATATAATGGAAATTTTAAAAACTCACTGCATGGGCTCAATAGTGGAGGTGACAGAGGATAGAATCAATGAACATAAAGACAGAACAGAACTCAGCCAGGCAAAAAAGAAAAAGAACAGAAGTTCCTGACCTGAGGGACAACAACAAAAGATCTAACATTTATATCAGAGTCCCAGAAACAGAAGAGAAAGTAGGACAAGAGTATTTGAAGCCGGGCCCAGTGGCTCACGCCTTTAATCCCAGCACTTCGGGAGGCCTACTCAGGCAGATCGCTTGAGGTCAAGAGATGGAACCAGCCTGGCCAACATGGTGAAACCCCGTTTCTACTAAAGATACAAAAATGAGCCAGACATGTTGGCACATGTCTGTAATTTCAGCTACTTGGGAGGCTGAGGTAGGAGTATCGCTTGAGCCCGAAGGACCAGGCTGCAGTGAGCCAAGATAGCGTCATCATACTCCAGCTTGGACAACAGAACGAGACTCTCTCAAAAAAAAAACAAACAAAAAAGTATTTGAAGAAGTGGCTAAAAAGCCCCCAAATCTGGCAAAAGACACAAACCTACAGATCCAAGATGATAGGCAAATCTCACAGGATAAAGTGCTAACATATCCATAATTACCTAAAATGTAAATAATGCCAATATACCAATCCAAAGACAGATTGGCAGCATGGATTTTCCTTTTCTGATTTAGTTGTTTCATTTTTCCAAACATACAGGTGATTGGACCTGTCCATGCATCTTCACCAGCAGCTGGAGCATCTGTACCCTTGGTATTTCTGGTGTAAACTCCTGAGCTCTGTGCTTTGAAGCCAGTTTGATAAGTCCTTTACTAAAAAGCCCCTGGCCAAGGAACCTTGAATCTTCAGTCTCTCAGAGACCACAGCTGGGGTCATAAGCTTATAGTTGGGATCTTCCTTATAGATTGTCATAGATAGCTTTGTCAAACAAAACTAGGTTACTGAGCTTGTCCCAAACTTTGACTTTGGACTACTTTTAGCCCCGCCCCCAGATCTGTTCACTGCGTCTTTGTCTTTCTTGGTTGACTTTCTGGCATCTTTCTTCTTCTTGTCGTCCTTGGGAGGCATTGCAAAGCTTAGAGAGTAGCAGCAACCACTGCAGCTTTGCTAAGATATTGGACTGAAAGGAACCACTGCTCAGGAAAGGGCTCCCCCGCTGTGAGTACTTCTGGGGCAAAGGAGTCAGTGTGGATTTTAAAACGAAAAACAAACAACAGCTTTTATGCTGCTTACAAGAAACCCACTTCAAATTCAATATAAATAGGTTGAAAGTAAAAGAAAAGAAAAAATATACCATGCCAACATTATTTTTTTCAAAAAGCAGGAGTAGCTATATTAATACCTGATAAAGTAGACTCCAGAGCAAAGAAAATTACTAGTGACAAAGTGGGACACTATGTAATGACAGAAAGTTCAATCCACCAGAAGATATAGGATCCCAAAATGTACTAACCAAACAACAGAGCCTCAAAATACATTAAACAAAAACTGATAGAGCTAAAAGTTCAAACATCTTTACAGTTAAAATTGGGGACTTCAACACCTCCATTTCAGTAACTGATAGGACTACTAAAGAGAAAATCAGCAAGGGTGTAGAAGATCTGAACAACACATAAACTAACAGTATCTCACTGACAGAACACTCCACCCAACAATAACACAATACATGCACTCATGAGTATTCTGGACAGACCATCAAACAACCTAAATAAAAGAATCAAAATGATAATGTGTTCTCTGACCATAATGGAGCCAACCTAGAACTTAGTAACAGAAACACATTAGGAGATGTCTAAACACATGACTAAAATTGATCTACAAATTTAATGCAATGCATACTAAAATCCCTGTAAGATTTTTTTTGCAGGCATAGACAACAGACATAGCCAAAACTTATTCTAAAATATATATGATGAGGTACAGGCCCTAGTTAAACAATCTTGAAAAAAAGAATAAAGTGGGAAGAATCTATTTGATTTTAAGGCTTACCATGTAACTGTAGTCATCAAGAGGGCATGTATCGGCAGAGGGTCAGACATACAGATCAATGGAATGAGACAGAGGACCCAGAAATAGGTCCATACAAATATGCTCAACAGATATTTGACAAGCATCATGCGAACCAATTCAATGGAAGAATAAGCTTTCAAAAAAATGGCATTGGAGCAACTGGACTTCCATAGGAAAAGATGAACCTGGACCCAAACCATAAACCTTATATAAAAATAAATTTGGCCAGGTGTGGTGGCTCACACCTGTAATCCCAGCACTTTGGGAGGCCGAGACAGGTGGATCACCTGAGGTTGGGAGTTTGAGACCAAACTGAACAACATGGTAATCCCAGCCACTTGGGAGGCTGAGGAAGGAGAATCACTTGAACCTGAGAAACGGAGGTTGTGGTGAGCCAAGATCGTGCCATTGTACTCCAGCCCGGGCAACAAGAGGTAAACTCCATCTCAAACATAAAAAAAAGAAAAACTCAAAATGAATCACAGGCTTAAATATAAAACTTTAAGCTATAAAACTTTTAAAGAAAAACACAGGAGAAAATCTTCGTGATCTAGGGGTAGGCAGAGTTCTAACTCGATATCAAAAGCATGATCCATAAAAGGAAAATGTAGTAAGTTGGTCTTTTTAAAAATTAAAAGATTTTGCTCTATGAAAGAACATGTGAAAAATAAAAGAACAAGTTACAGACTAAGAAAAAATATTTGCAAACCACATATCTGAGCTCTGCAGGACTCCAAAACATAACAGTTAAAAATGTAACTATACAATTTTAAAATGAGTATGACATGAACAGACATTTCACCAAACAGGATATACAGCTGGCAAACAAGCACATGAAAAGATGTTTAACATTATTAGCTGTTAGAGAAATGCAAATTAAAACTACAATGACATATTACTACACATCCAACAGAATGGCTAAAATAAAATATAGTAGGCCAGGCAGGGCAGCTCACGCTTGCAATTCCAGCAGCAATTTGGAAGGCTGAGGCAGACAGGTCACTTGTGCCCAGGAGTTCAAGATCAGCCTAGGTAACATGGTGAAACCACATCTCTACAAAATTTAGCTGGGCATTATGGTGCACACCTGTAGTCCCAGCTACTTGGGAAACTGAGGCAGGAGGATTGCTTGAGCCTGGGAGGTGGAGGTTGCAGTGAGCCAAGATCATGCCATTGTATTCCAGCCTGCTGACAGTGAGACCCTGTCTCAAAAAAAAAAAAAAAAAAAGACAAACCAAATGCTGGCAAGGGTGTGAAAAAAACTGAATCACTCTGACATTGCTGTTGGGAAGGTAAAATGGGACCACAACTCTAAAAGTTTGGTACCTTCTGATAAAACATGCATCTATCATGTGACTCAGAAATTATACTGCTAGAGATCTGAAAGAAATGTTCTATGCTGACATGAAACATGTACAAAAATGTTCATTGTGGCTTTATTTCTAATAGCCAAACAGTGGATCGATATAGCCCAGATGTCCTTCAGCAGGTAACACAAATACATATCATGGAAAATACTCAGCGATAAAAAGGAATGAATAAAAAGAATGAAATACTGACATGCGGCAATTTGAAGGAATACCAGGGAATTATACTGAGTGAAAAGCCAATCCCAAAAGGTTACATACTGTATGATTCTATTTATATAATATTCTTGAAATGACAAAATCATAGATAAATGGAGGACAGATTAGTGGTTGCCAGGGGTTAAGGACGGTGGTGTGGGAAGACAGGAGTGAGGTGGGTGTGTTTATGAAAGGGGAACAAGAGAGATCTTGTGGTGTTGAAACTGTTCAGTATCTTATAGGATACATAAGCTTACATAGGTGATTAAGCTATAGACTTGTATAGAATATATCACATAAATATTCATTAATACAAGTAAAACTAGGAAGTCTGAATGATTGGTGGATTATATCAATGTCCTAGTTGTTACATTATAGTTTTACAAAATGTTACTTTTAGGGGAAACAGGGTAAGGTGAACGGAATTATTTGAATTATCTCTTAATTATTTTTTAGATGAATCTATATTCATCTCAATAAAAGTTTCATTTAAAAAAATCTGAATGGGCTAGGAGTGGTAGCTCACACCTCTAATCCCAGCACTTTGGGAGGCTGAGGCAGGTAGGTCACTTGTGGACAGGAGTTTGAGGCCAGCCTGGCCAACATGGTGAAACCCCATCTCTACTAAGAATGCAAAAATTAGCTGGGTATGGTGATGCATGCCTGTATTCCCAGCTCTTCGGGAGGCTGAGGCAGAAGAATCGCTTGAACCCAGGAGGCAGAGGTTGCAGTGAGCCAAGATCCCTCGACTGCACTCCAGCCTAGGTGACAGAGTGAGACCCTGCCTCAAAAAAAAAAAAAAGAAAAAAGAAAATCTGAATGTATACTACATGCCATTATACGAATAATGTGTTTCACAGATGAGGGAAGTGAAGTTGAGTGGCTGGTATGATTTAAGATTACAGAGCTAGCAAGAAGATGGGCTGGCATTCAAGCTCTGGTTTGTACAGTTGATAACTTAGAATATAATGTAGATAACTTAAGGGTCCAATTAGTTGACTGAAGAAGTAAAAAAAATAACTATTAATATATCATTTCAAAGGGTGAGCAACATTGTGCTTTCTGCTAATGTGGTAGAAACTTAAAAGTTTTTGTTTTAGAATGGTATGCTAGGACTTAGGTACTAGAGTATAGTATCAAGAGTACTATAAATATAAGGGACTTCATTCTCAGGTTCCCCCAAAAACCCAATTTTTGTCTAATAATTATAAATTTGAATTATAAGACCATCAACAGAAAACAAACACCAAAAAGTACCCATATCTACTTAATGCTGGCTTCAGATTAAAATAAAAATACACTAAACCAAGTTTCAGCAAAATAATTTTATTTCCTATCATGTGGTAACATATACATCCAATATGTGTTCACCTTGCACATCTATTCACAAGTACTTCCAAACGACAACAGCTTTGATATTTAAGCATGTGCTAAAATTTATCTTAGTTGAGATATGAAAAACGCTTTAGACAGATAACATTCTGAGTGTATTGGATTGGTCAGGCCGCAGCAGAAGTTACTTTAGTTAGCTGAGTTCTACAAATTTAAAGCTTTGAAAAGCTACTACTTTTACATCGAATACATCCAGATGAATATGATGCAGCAATATCAGCTTGTATTCCAGAGAAATCTCATTAATTTTTCTGTTGATGGAACCACTTATCCACTGTATTCAGTGAAAAGAAAAACAAATTAGAATTCCTGTTAAGAATTAAAATTACACCTAACATATATAAAGACTAATATACTTGCTTTAATTAATCCTACTATGAATTACTTGAAAATTGACAGGTATACATACAAAGTTTCTCTACAGCAAATGCAGCTGTTTTCTTTTGGGCTTCCTTATACTTCATGTTAATTGTATAGGGTGATTTTCAAACTTTTATTTATTTATTTTTTTGAGACAAAATCTCACTCCGTTGCCCGGGTGATTGGTGCAGTGACAGCAATCATGGCTCACTGCAACCTCCACCTCCTGGGTTCAAGAAATTCTTGTGCCTCAGTCTCCTGAGCAGATGGCATTTTAGATGCATGCCACCACGTCTGGCTAATTTTTCTATTTTTTTATAGAGACAGAGTTTCTCCACGTTGGCCAGGCTGGTCTCAAGCTCCTAGGCTCATGTGATCCACCCGCCTCAGCCTTCCAAAGTGTTAGGATTACAGGCGTGAGGCATCACACCCAGCCATCAGACTTGTTTTTTTAAGTGGCAGAATCATTTTCTTACCTGAAAAATCTTACAGAGAATTCTAACATCTAAGGAAAATAGAACTGTTTTCTGGGTGAAGCAGCCTGTGGCCAGATGGGGATGTGGAGGCCAGCCCACTCAGCATCCTCCCCAGTGTCCAACAGGCACCTCCATGAAACTCAGAGGGGCACTCATGGTTTGGAAACCACTATGATACAGTATGGCACTAAAAGTGATATATAGCAGCTCATCTTCCTTCCCATGTACACTACAGAACTCTAGAAACATTTCTCTTCTTACCCCCTTTCCCTCTCTTCCTGTGTATGTGGTATGTTAATAATATGAATGTGGCTGGGTGCAGCGGCTGATGCCTGTAACCCTAGCACTCTGGGAGGACTAAGTGGGTGGACTGCCAGCCTGGGTGACATGGCAAAACCCTGCCCAATCAGGGTTCAAGACCAGGCTGGTTTGAGAACTGGTTTGAGACAAGCTTGGACAACATGGTGAAACCCTGTCTGTACAAAATATAAAAAAATTAGACAAGTTTATGGTGGCATGTGTCTGCAGTCCCAGCTATTTGGGAAGCTGAGATGGGAAAATCACTTGAACCTGGGGAGGTTGAGGGTACAGTGAGCTGTCACTGCGCCCATGCACTCCAGCCTAGGTGACAGAATGAGACTCTGTGTCAAAACAAAAAGCAAGCCAGGCACAGAAAGACAAATACCACATGATCTCATTTATATTTGGAATATAAAAGGCGAACTCATAGAGGCAGAAAGTAGAATGGTGGTTGCCAGGAGCTGAAGGATGGGGAACCAGGAAGGTAATGGTCAAGGGGTACCAAGTTTTAGTTTAGACAGAAGGAATAAGCTTTAGTGATCTGTTGCACTAAATGCCTATTTCAAAATTGCTAAGAATAGATTTCAAATGTTTTTACCACACACCAAATAATGATTAAGTATGTGAGGTGATCGATTTTTTAATTAGCCTGATTTAATCATTCCACATGGTAAACATGTATCAAAATATCACACTCTATCCCATAAATATATATAATTATCATTTGTCAACCACAAATAAAAGTAATGTCATTTTTCCATACATGTACATAATTTTTCATGAAATTTTACTGGAATAGAAATCTTACCATCTGTTGGTACTGTGCAGGCAGATTCACAGGATGGTGGTAACTAAAATATAAAATATTAAAATCTATTAGTCTAATCTCACTTTTAAAAAAGCTAAAAAGGCATACTGACAAAAATTTTAAAAAATCTGAAGACTATTCTAAATTTTAGAATCTAAACATAATTTATAATATGTAGGAATAATAGAAGGTTTGCTCTACTGCTGAGATGCTAACAAATTCAAGCCGTTTGACTTTTTATGATACACAGAATAATTTTTTTGAAATAAAAACTGATTTATGCATATATAACAATTTTATATATACACACATATTTATAAAATATGGGCAAAGTGTTCTCACTGAAAAATTATAATAGTTAACCACTGGCTTTTCCCTTACAATTTTTCTTATTAATCTCGCCTTTGTCAGGATTCATACATAAATAAAGATAAATCTAAATATACTGGCTTCATCATTAAATTGTCCTTTTTTCTTTGTTCTACTCCATTTACAAGGCAGGAAAAAAGTCAGACCTCATTTTCTTTTGTTTTCCTTATTTGATAGTATAAATGGAAATAATTTAAGATGATCTCATTCAATCGTTTGGTTAATCCAAACCAAATAATTAAAATTAGTACAAAAACAAAATTATTGCTTTGACAGGTAATTTTACTACCTCACATGAAAGTCTTTCTTAGATTATAAATCATTCCTGCAATAGTACCTAAAACTTGATAACTCCCTCAGTCCTTGCTTATTATAACCAAGTCAAGTAAATTCCCATTGGTTCTTTTGTGGAAATGGCTTATGATGGGTCATGGGCACACAAGTTACTTGGTACATTCTGGAACCATTTTGATTTTTACAAATTTTACTACCATGCTATCTGTCCAACTTATGATTGATTAGAATCACTCCTTCAGCTTCTCCCTCAGTCAAATGTCCACTTATATGTGTTCATGGTTTCTAATTTCAAGACTTCATACAGCAACATGTATACAGAAGGTACTCAAGTATTTGTCGAAACAAGTACTTCCTCTCCTTATTTAGCATCAGAGTTTTTAGCAACTAGGTATTTTTTTTTTAAGGAAACTTTTACATACAGCATCCACAATGGCTCTGGCAGCATCAGGATCACACTTGAAGGGGCTCTCAGACACAGTTGTATTCATGCTATTAAATAAAACAAAAGTAGTCATAAGACAAAATAACAAAAATTCTCTCTCAGGAGTTAAAAAATAAGTTGAAGTGGTTGACCAGGTGCCATTCAAGTTTAGTTTAGTCCAAAGCTTTTTCACCTATATTGAACATTCTAATTATTTATTTTGCCAAGGCATAGCTGTGCTTGTGATCAATTTTATTCAAATATCTTAACAAGTTTGGATTTAATAACCTGAGATTGCATGCTTTGTAATTCTCACTGAAATAGCTGAGAAATGCAAATTAAATGGAGAAACATATCTTTCCTAATTGGAAAAAAAATGAAACAAACAAACAAAAAAACCCAGTTCCTGTAGTGTTGGTGAGATATCTGAAACAGATACTTCTGGCAGGAGTCCTGGTTCAAACATTTCTGAAAAATAATTCAGTAAAATTTATCCAAAACCTTTTAAAAAGCTCATAGTTGGGCAGGTGCAGTGACTCAAAACTATAATCCCAGCACTTTGGGAGGCCAAGGTGGGCATATCACGAGGTCAAGAGATCGAGACCATCCTGGCCAACATCATGAAACCCCATCTCTACTAAAAATACAAAAATTAGCTGGGTGTGGTAGTGCACACCTATAGTCCCAGCTACTCAGGAGGCTAAGGCAGGAGAACTGCTTGAACCAGGGGGCGGAAGTTGCAGTGAGCCGAGATGGCACCACTGGGCAACAGAGCAAAACTCCATCTCAAAAAAAAAAAAAAAATTTAATTAATTAAAATAAATAAAAATCATCTGGAGTGGTGGTGCTTGCCTGTAGTCCTAGCTACTTGGGAGGCTGAGACAGAAGATCACTTCTTTGAAGTTACAGTGAGCTATTATGGTAACACTGCACTTTAGCCTAGGTGAGAGAAAAAAAAACTTTTATTTTTAATGACAAGAGGAAATGCTTATATGTAAATTTTAAAAATCATAAGACAAGTTGTATATAATATAATCCTAATTTGTTTTTTGTTTTTTTTAGCCCACTTGAGTCTAAAATATGGATTATGTTTTAAAAATACATTTGATTTTGTTTATCTGTAGTTCAGGTTTTCCTATATATTGATCATTATAGTATTAATATATGTGCCCAATTAGAAATATCCCATCAAAATGAAAAATGAATGATCTTTGCTTACCTATTATTTAACATACATTAAGATCACTTTCATAGAATTTGTAAGATACCACAAAATAGAGAAGTTAACTTAAAAGCCAAATCTTTTTCCATATTTTTTTTCTTTTGAGACAGGGTCTTGCTCAGTTGCCCCATCTGAAGTGCAGTAGTGCAATCATTGCTCACTGCAGCCTCGATCTCCAGGACTCAAGTGATCCTCCCACCTCAGCCTTGCTACAGGCAAGCACCACCACACCTGGCTAATATTTTTAATTTTTATTAGAGATGAGGTCTTGCTATGTTGCCCCCTTCAGTCTCAACTCCTGAGTTCAAGTGATCCTCCTGCCTCAGCCTCCTAAAGTGCTTGCATTACAGGAATGAGCCATAGCAATCAGCCAAATGTCAACTCGTAGGATTGTACATTTTTACATAAATGTATAACTCTTTTCCATTTTTCTTCTGTTTGTGGAAGGAAAATGTTTTTGGTTTCTAGGAAATTAACCTGACACAGAATAAAAGGTTTCTGGGAGAATTAGTTTTTGTACATTAGGATTGTATCATACTCTTTTTTTTGAGACTGAGTCTTGCTCTGTCACCAAGGCTGGAGGACAGTGTTGTGATCACGGCTCACTGCAGCTTCAACCTCCCCAGGCTCAGGTGATCCTCCCACCTCAGCCTCCCAGGTAGCTGGGACTGCAGGTGTGTACCACCATGTACAGCTAATTTTTGTACTTTTTACAGAGACAGGGTTTCTCCATGTTGCCCAGGCTACTCTCCAACTCCTGGGCTCAAGCGATCCATCCACCTTGGCCTCTCAAAGTGCTAGAATGACAGATGTGAGCCACCACATCCAGCCTTGTATCTCTTTTCTAAGTGAAAGTAACAGTACAGTGTCATATGATTATTAAAACCTTTTGTGCTTTGTGTGTTAAACATGCAAAGCATTTACACTTACCAACTAATTCCTTTTCCATCTGTTTTCTTAGTCACTAATGCTTTCCAATGGTCGTGAGTGCTTTTAATAATATCAGTTGCAAAGTCCTATAATTTGAAGAGATTTGCATTACAATGATAACAGAGTATTCTTTTTCTATTATCAACATTTCCCTAAAGCCTGATACTTTGTCCCTTCTGAATCATTTTCTTGTACTAAAAATAGAATATTAAAGTGAATAAATAAACACCAAGACTATGTTACATTTTCAGACTTCTGTTTTAGAAATCTTTAGATGGTAACAATATGGTTAAATTATAAGTCTCAATACAAATGAGCCTAAAACTATGTTTCTCAATGACATATTACCTTATCTTTAAATTCTGCATTAAAAGCAAACTCATTTTCTGGTTTTCCATCAGGAACCTTATACCTTCTAAACCAGTCCACGGTAGCTTCTAAGTAGCCAGGTTTCAGCCGTTTGACATCATTGATATCTAAGAAGAGAAGAAACGTAAGATGACAGTGAGAATGACTTTAAAAAAAAGAAAGAGGACAAGCAGATTTCAAGATGCATAAACTATACTTTCAACAAAAATTTCAACTACTTATTTTGAAAGAATTGTGGAATGACTTATCATGGAAGTTCAAGATTATGTTGGAGCAAAGCCCCTTATTGAGAAGAGAGGCCATACACATACACATTGAAAGGAAATCTAGTGTCTCAGAATAGCTCTGACATTAAGTACAGAGAATGATCAGTACCATAGTAATCTCTGTTAGATAAGAGCAAACAGCTGGTGGCAACATAATGAAAGAACAAGTTTGGCAAGTGTAGATAATTCCTATAAGAAGCGTACAATATACTGAAAAAGACAGAGGTTATCTTTTTTTTTTTTTTTTTTTTCAGAGACAGGGTCTCATTCTGTCGCCCAGGCTGGAGTGCAGTGGCACGAACATGGCTCACTGCAGCCTTGACCTCCGGAGCTCAGGTGATCCTCTCACCTCAGCCTCCTGAGTAGCTGAGACTATAAGCATGCACACACCCAGCTAATGTTTAAATATTTTGTAGAGATGTGATCTCGTCATGTTGCCCAGGCTGGTCTCAAACTTCTGGGCTCAAGCAATCCTCCTGCCTTGGCTTCCCAAAGCGCTGGGATTATAGGCTTGAGCTACTATCCCTGGCCCAGAGGCAAAGGCTACATGTCAGAGGATCACAACTCTATGACATACTAAAAGATAAGAAAAATGTGTTAGATTGATATCCATTGATGGTTTACATGTTAAATGTGACTAGACTTTGCTGGATAGTACAGGCATTGTACATAACAATACTTTAGTTCTGGCCAACACAAAGTGTACTTCTTAAAAAACTTTACGTTTCTGTATAGCCATCAACAATGGCTAGCCTTAATGTCATCAAACCGCACTTTAAACAACAAACTCCTGTAGTGCAAGCAGAGATACACATGCTAAAAAGTCAGTTAGGAAAAGTATTATGAGGAAGAGAAATACATTCAACAGCAAAAGAAGCTTATTTATATTTTTGAAAGATGACATTCCTTTAATCCAATTTATAATCTGCATAAAGAAGAGCATATATTCTATGATCATAATATCACTAAAATTATGAAAACCTTACAGAATGCACTGGAAAATGTTTAAACACTAGTAAATTTCAAAGAACTTATAATTTACATAAAATACGTCACCCGATGTAGAAATAACTTGGAAATCCAGAAATCCAACATGCAAATGTCGATGTTTTCCAATACCAAGAACCAAGTCTCCAATTATTCAGACACCAACTGGGTGCTCAGTAATTCAGTGTAATTCTGTCTACCTGGAGTTAGCATCAGATCTCAAAGGTTAGGGGCTCAGTCTCACAAGACTGCTCTACTTCAGATGCCTCCTGTACTTTTCACTGATCGGCTATAAATTTCGGGTTTCCACAATTCTCTCCTAGGCTCCCTAACTTTCTAAAATGGTTCACAGAACTCAGGAAAACACTTAAGTTTAACATTCTGTTATATGCATACAACTCAGGGACAGCAAATGGAAGAGATGGCACAGGGACAAGCAGTAGTATCGACAATAGACATTGCCTTAGGTTGACATTTACAGAAAGCTGTACACTACTTGCACCATGGGATCAGCAACCTTGAGAAAGTTTTCAGGGTTCTATTCACCTCAACTGCAGGGAAATAATGCCTTAGTAAGTTAGTGCTGACAAAGTGATGGGCTTGGCTCTACTAATTGTGACCACAGCACGCCATGTTCTCTTGTATAACAAGTACACTGGATATGCACACACAGACCAAAAGAGCCATACCACCAAGTAGTAAACAGATGGTGTGAATGCACTCTCACCTTTCAAAATTGTCCTTCTTCAATGAATTCACACACATGCAAAAATACACCACATCATTTTGAGGGAACATGCTCTCAAGGTGACTCTTATCACTGCTGATATTGACCTCCATCACCTGGCTGAGGCAGTGTTTGTCAGGTTTCTCTGCCATAAAGTCATCCTCTCCTCTCCCTCACCCACACTGTATTCTTTGGAAGGAAGTCACCATGCACAATTCACAATTAAGGAGTTGGGGGGCACTCCACCTCCATGAGAATGGAGTATCTACATAAATTATTTGGAATTCTTCTGCTTTGAGATTTGTCTATTCTTCCTTATTTGTTTGTTTATTTAATTATTTATTTATGTCAGTATAGCATTATACAGCCAAAACAACCCAAATGTCCATCAACTGATGAATGGATAAACAAAAGGTAGTGTATACACACAATGGAATAATATTCAGCCATAAAAAGGAGTACTGACAGATGCTACAATATGCAATATGGATGAACCTAGAAAACATTGTATTAAGTGAAAGAAGCCAGAAACAAACAACAATAAAAAAATCCACATATTGCACCAGTCCATGTATATGAGATACCTAGAATAGGTAGAATTGCCAAATCTATAATGACAAAAAGCAGATGAGTGATTGCCAGGGCCTGAGAGGAGGAGGGCATAGGGAATGACTTGAACTAGTGGCAATGGCTACACAACCTTGTGAATGAATCAAATGCCACTGAATTGTACACTCTAATTAAAATAGTGAATTTTATGTTATGCAAATTTTACCACCACCAAAAAAAAAAAAAAAAAAGGGAATAAAGTGCTGATACATGCTACGATATGGATGAACCTTAAAAACACTTATTTCACTAAGTGAAATAAACCAGACATAGAGGCCACCTACATTATGCCATTTACATGAAATGACAGCATAGGTAAAATCCATAGGGACAAAGTAGATTGGCAGTCACCAGGGACTGAAAGAAGGGGGACGGGGAGTGATTGCCCATGGAAGCAGGATTTCCTTTTGGGCTGATGAAATGTTCTGCAATGAGGGAGTGGTGATGGTTGTACAACTTAGTGAATATACTAAAAACCACTGAATTGGACATTTTACAATGGTGACTTTTTGATATGTGAATATCTCAATTAAATGTTTTAAAATAAGCCGGGCGCGGTGGCTCAAGCCTGTAATCCCAGCACTTTGGGAGGCCGAGGTGGGTGGATCACAAGGTCAAGAGATCAAGACCATCCTGGTCAACATGGTGAAACCCCGTCTCTACTAAAACTACAAAAAATTAGCTGGGCATGGTGGCGCGTGCCTGTAGTCCCAGCTACTCAGGAGGCTGAGGCAGGAGAATTGCCTGAACCCAGGAGGCGGAGGTTGCGGTGAGCCGAGATCGTGCCATTGCACTCCAGCCTGGGTAACAAGAGCAAAACTCCGTCTCAAAAAAAAAAAAAAAAAATGTTTTAAAATAAATGAACATTGCAACTGAGTACTGGTATGTAGGGAAGGGAAGGACCAAAAAAACCAGAACCTATCAGATTTTTTATTTCCTGGAAGGAAGGATAAAGTTTACTTAATTAATTATAAGCACAGTCATAGAAATAATGCTTGTCCAGTGCTTTGCTCCTCCATCCTTGAACAGTTTGAAGGGATGGGCTTACAGTTCTGTCCTTACAGGTTAGGTTTGGTGGTGCTTATGAATTAATTAGAAAGACTTCAGACTCTTCCAATTTTCTTACCATTATAATTGGCTGCATCAGGATCATCCACATTAATGGCAATGACTTTCCAGTCGGTTTCCCCTTCATCAATCATAGCCAATATGCCTAGAACTTTCACGCCAATTATTTCACCTCTTGCACATACCTGAGAGTCAATAGCCAAAGTCAGGACAATATTACGGAACAAAACTCTAGAAGAAAGTTTTACTTGGCTAACTTATGGAAATAAGAAAGAGGCCAGGTTTTTGTGAACTTACCTGAAGGTTGTTCCTTTAAGCCAATTTTAAAAACCTAAGTGAGTAAATGCTTCATTGGTCCTATTAAAGTTGAAAATAAGACTTACAGGTCCTATTTTCTTACAGGTCATAGGGAAACCAGTATGTAGCTCAAGGTAATCAATGTTTTTTGCACTATCATTGATTATACTGAAGAATAAGTCCTCCACAATCTCAAATACGTATCTTAACATGGTTTAACTTTTATTAAAGCCATTGAGTTAAGCAAGTTATACAATGACTTAAAAGCTTTATGACTTAAAAAACAAAATAACTTTGTTTTTAGTTATTTACTATTTCTCTGAGCCTGAGAAAGACATCATGAAATAACTATAATCAAAATCTTAGAACAACCCTACTTGATGGAGTTATTACTACCATGAATCTCCAACTCATGAGGTTATTTGGTTTGGGTCAGTATTTACTGATCATTCTAAATTGTTAGGCAAGCTTTGCATATACTGAGAGGGAATTTCCCTCATGGTATCTTTCACTTATTGACTAATTATCCACCTTCTAAAGCAATGCAGACCATGTCCAGTTCTTCTAGATATATGTTCAATCATACATGCACACACACATTTTTTCCAGACTAGGTTTAAATGTACAAATTATAAAATACAAATTCTTAAAATGCAACAGAAGCCTCTAATATCCAAGAGATATCATTATTTCACTAATATTCATGTATTTTATTCACAATATTTTTTTAAAGTATGAACTTTGTTATACTTTATTAATATCTCAACACTAAAGAAAAAAATGTCACATTTCATTACCTTGCCTCCAATTTCACACACATCAATTGGGTCATTGTCACCACAACAGCCAGTATGTTTATCATTGTGCCCTGGGTCTTCCCAAGTCTAAAAAAAATAAGACTTAGTGTATATTATCCCTATACACACTGACAGAATGGATCGTGTTGAGAATAACATCCTATGACTCTTCAGCTACTTTTTTCTCATTGTTTTAGTTCTTTATTTGCATTTTAGAATCTTAACTACACACAATATTTTCAATTAAATGCTGGAGCTCCTATTATACATATAATGCTAAACTAAATCTAAGCTTTAAAACAAATAATGAATGATCCTATTTAAAACAAGCAAAAACCAACTACTTAATAACTGAGACAACAGGGAAACACAAATATAGACCCAAGCCTTTACTTTAAAAATGTGTGGTTTTAGGCTGGGTGTGGTGGCTCCCGCCTGAAATCCCCACACTTTGGGAGGCTGAGGCGGGTGGATCACATGAGGTCAAGAGTTCAAGACCAGCCTACCCAACATGGTGAAACCCCGTACCTACTAAAAATACAAAAATCAGCCAGGCATGGTGGCACATGCCTGTAATCCCAACTACTCAGGAGGCTGAGGCAGGAGAATCGCTTGAACCCAGGAAGCAGAGGCTGCAGTGAGCTCAGATCACACCACTGCACTCCAGCCTGGGCAACAGAGCAAGGCTCCATCTCAAAAAAAACACAAACAAACAAACAAACAAACAAAAAACAAAACAAAAAAAACTCCACAAAAAACAAAACAAACAAAAATGTGTGGTTTTTTTCCTTTTCTTTGCATAAGCCACTGCACCTGGTCTTAGACTTTCTTTATAATAAATTCCCAAGACAGAAGTAGGTAGTCAATATTAGTAAAATGGAAAGGTTACTTTTTTTTTTTTGGAGACAGAGTCTTGCTCTGTTTCTCAGACTGGAAGGTGCACAGTGGCGCAATCTCAGCTCACTGCAACCTCAACCTCGTGGGTCCAAGTGATTCCCCTGTCTCAGCCTCCCAAGCAGCTGGGATTACAGGCATTTGCCACCACACCTGGCTAATTTTTGCATTTTTAGTAGAGATGGGGTTTCACCATGTTGGCCAGGCTGGTCTCGAACTCCTGACCTCAGGTGATCCTCCCGCCTTGGCCTCCCAAAGTGCTGGGATTATAGGTATGAGCCACCACACCCAGCCAAAAGGTTATGTCCTGATGTTAAAAGTATCATCACTGACCAGGAGCTAAGACTGAAAAATTTAATCAGGATTTTCTGGAGCTTTACATGACTGGTTTTCTTTCCTTCCTAAATTGTATGCCAGGGTCCTTGCAGAACATCTCATAAAATAACTGATAGCCTGTGCTAGCCAGGATATTAGATTTAAAATGTAGCTGTTGCATTGGTTTTTTTCCTCCAACTGGAACACATTACTTAGATTTGTTTGTCTACTAAGCTGGAGTAAAGGTGAAAAGATAAATGAGAAGTAGGATAAAGGAAGATCACATCTAACAAATCCAACATGAACAAAACACAATCCAACCCACAGAAGAGTAAGTATTTCAGCAATGTTCTCCGACAGATGATATATCAAGACTAAATACTATTAACAAATCAATTGAAGTATAAGGTGAAACACTGTAATTAAGACAAGCAAATGACTTTGTGTTTACCTAACTAGCTAGATGGGCTGGACCTGTGTTCCACTATCTTATAGGTTGTTTCACAGTAGGTTCCATTTAACAGACCTCAAGATTAATCAAAAACAAACCATTTATCAAGATGAAAAAATTAAACTGAATATTTAATTAGTGTCCAGTATTAAATTATAAGTGCCATAGCATTGGCCTAGCCAAACCAGAATTTATTCATTATAGACAAGATTCTAGTGATTCCTCACTCAAAATATTAAATAAGAACCTTCTACATACTGACATTGTACAGGGAATAAATGGGTAAACAATGCCCCTCCTCAAGGCGGTGACTATTTAAGAAAACAGGTTCCCCTCATTACTTTACCACAAAGAGCTTGACCTGAAGAAGAAGGAATCAGGACTCTAAACATAAAAGTCAGCAGCTATGAAAGCTTGTGTGTGCAGGTGTGACGTGCTTTAGTTTTTGAAATAACCATACCAACTACATACTGTGAATATCTCAGGGGGGCGATATTAACATCTGAAGGAGAAAGAAAGGGAAGCAAGTTAGATAAGCTAGGAAGTGGCCATCTTGGGATTTGAACTCTGGTCTGTCTGATGCCAAAAATCAGTGCTTTTGACTACTACCATACACTCTTTCTTGACTGAATAGACTTGCAACTGAGTCTGTAGAGAATTTATATAGCTTATAACCAGCCCATAGAAAGAAGAAATATTTCAGAAAAGAATAAATGTTCAAATCAGAATTTAAACACTGTAAATATTTACTTTTCAGTTTATCTTGAACATAAGTTATTTAAGGAAGCATTCAAATGAGTTAATTATCCCTTCTTATGTTTTTAAAATCTACCGTAGTAAAAACTCTCCACAGGTATTTAAATCTTTTTTACTAATAGCAGTAAGTTAATATTTAGTAAGCTAAAAAGTACATTGTCAGCAGTTGCATGAAGACATACCTGAGGGATGGCACCATAGTTCCAGATGTATCCTTTATACGGGAACAAATTTGCAACATAACGAAGTTTTCCTTTTTTCACATCTTGTTTAATGGGGTTTAAAGGGTCCTTTGTAGCAATCTGAAATAAAAAATTTCAAATAGTCGCATATTTGGATGTGAAATACTATTCAAATAAGGATCTGAGGAAATGAATTATGGTATCTATGTTCCCTAATTCCACTTTAATGATATATTTTATCCCTAACACTTTTATAATTGAACTAAAGGTGCTTCCAAAATCAGCCATTAAGTGGAAAGCTTAAGTGAGGTATACAGGAACTATCAAGAAGGGGAAGAGAACATTTACTAATCCTAGAAAGCAAAAACTAAAATTAGCTGGAATAAATTCTAACATTTGAGTAATAAAAATACCATAATTTTTATTAAAAGGGCAAAATAAATATCCAATTTCAGCTTTCCTTTACAGAATTTAAAATTATTCAAATACTTGGGTATTTATTACACAAAACATGTGACTACTGTAAAAGAGTTTGTGATATAAAATATGTTATAAATATCCATAACAAAAAGGCAATGATGGTAGGTATCATCAGAAAGAAACTAACACAATGCAACTGAAATTCCAATGAGATTATTTGTGGCTGGGTGACTCAGGAGGAGTCAGTGATAGACTTAAAGAGAATAAAAGGAGAAAAAGTAATTCTAGGCTTTGGGAACACTGGAAGCAAAAATGTTGGAAAGGAAAGATGGAGGCATATTTGTAAATAGTTGAGTTCAGCTGGAGCCCAAAGGGAAGACTGGTAGGCAATGGGAGATACAACTAGGAAATGGACTGGGACCAGACAGAAAAACCCTGGAGTTCAGATGGTTCATCCTTGATCAAGTCAGTGTGACTAGACCAAAACCAATATCCTAAGTCTGACTCAAATGTAAGGTGAAACATTACCTCCATTTTTGCATTAGACCAGCGTGGTACTTCAACTACCATGTGGAACACATCCTGAAAAAACAAAGAGAAGGTGAGATGGTCACCGGAGCCAGTTTGTTCTCTGAGGGAGCATGCCCTATTTCTTCTAAAGTTAAACTGTTCATTGTAACAGATCTTTGAAGTCAACTGGACTTTGAACCAAATGCATCCAAAAAGAGAATGATGGATGAAGAAATAATGCAATTACAGGAAAATATTAATTATAGAATCAAGGTGGGTCACTATATGATTGCTTACTGTATAGTTCTTTTTAATTTTTTACTTTTACTTTTAAATTTTTTTGTAGAGACAAGGCCTTACCATGTTGCCCAGGCTGGTCTCAAACTCCTGACCTCAAGTGATCTTTCTGCCTCTACCTCCCAAAGTGCTGGGATTACAGGCGTGAGCCACCTCACCCAGCCAACTTACTATTTAAATCTTTTAACTTTTCTATTTGCTTTAAATGTTTCATAATAAAAATTGAGAGTGGAAAGAATGCTCCTAGGAAGGAAAGAAACAGTTCCTAAATAAACACAATAGAACCTATACCTCTGAAGAAGGCCATTTTCAAAACACTCTCCAAGGGCCAGTGTTATTTCCTTCAGAGACACTGCAATTACTCAAAATGTTTTTGGAGCTTCTATTTCAGAGATGGTTTATGAGACAAACCCCAAGTCAGCCTAATTACTTGGTTATACTTTATATGGCCATATATGACCATGTCTGCTGTTTTAGCATCAAACAAAACTCATCAGCTTCATTGCCCACATTATTCTCCCAATTTGGTTGTTTTTAGAAATAAATCCCCTCTCAAAAGGACTTTAACCTTGAAGATAAGAAAATATATTCTAAAAAAGATTTTAATCAATGATAACTTCTATTGTAATTGGCTTATAGCCTTAAATTGACTACTACAAAATAGATGATATACTCAGGGACTAAGTTCCCATGGAGGACTAAAGCATCCATAGGTCTGCTCCAAGCCTCCTGACACTGTACCTACCCAATAAAACAAAAAAACCAAAAGAATGGAAATATTACTTAAATCCAGGACTGGAAAAACTGCTCTATCCCTGTATCTCTCTGAAATAACCAGATGGTTTAGAAAATTTAACACTAATTGTTTATACTGGGTAGAAAACCTCAGAACCAGGCTGGGTGCAGTGGCTTACACCAGTAATCCCAGCACTTTGGGGCCAAGGCAGGCAGATCATGAGGTCAGGAATTCAAGATCATCCTGGCCAACATAGTGAAACCTCGTCTCTACTAAAAATTCAAAAATTAGCTGGGCATGGTGGCACATGCTTGTAATCCCAACTACTCAGGAGGCTGAGGCAGGAAAATCACTTGAACCTAGGAGGTGGAGGTTGCAGTGAGCTGAGATTGTGCTACTGCACTCCAGCTTGGGCAACAGAGTGAGACTTTGTCTCAAAAAGAAAAAAAGAAAAACCTCAGAACCAATTTTTGACTAAATTTCACCTTACCCACTAAGTTTTCAAGAACTGTGTCTATCTAGTACCACTGCTCAGGTGTAAAAATGAGAGATCTGTGTAGGTCTGTGAAAAGAACAAGTTGGGGCTTTCAGTTTTCAGCAGTAGTACCCTAAAGATTCACAAGATGGAGCTGTTTGACACAAAAGATCAACCGAAGCGCTCGCCAAGGTTAGTGGTTAATTTTGTTGAAATGCCACCGAATCACTGCTTCAAGAAAAACATAGCAAATAGAGCTGAAATAACTAATTCAAAGTTTGGAAACTATATTCAACACTTTGATAGCATTAAATGACAAATATGTATAGACCCTCAAAATACTATTACCTAATAACACAAACCTACATAATTAATGAGAAGGAAAAAAATAACAAGGAAGAAAACATCCTTCAGAAAATGGTAAGAAATTCTACTGTGAACAAAAGCTTGAAGGTCTGGTGCATTTTAGAAATTAGCTGGGCGGAAAGCAGCAAGGAGTACCTGCAAAAGCCAGGGTCAATTCACTGATTCTTTTTTCAACAAATATTTGTTGTGGACCACCAGGAAGTGCCAGGCACTTTTCCAGCCTCTGAAGACTAGCAATGAATAAAATAAAAGTTCTTTTAACTCCCTAAGAGTTGGATTTCCAAATCAGGTACTTCCAGCTTGTAGGCCTCAGGCTACAGCTTGGGGTGAGTGACTTGTCTGTAAAATCAATACTTAGCACACTTTCAAATGCATGTAGATGTGGTAGTAATTACTTCCTTTTTAAAAAAAAAAAAAAAAAAAAAAAGATGAGCTCTTAGCCAGGGGTGGCTACTAACGCCATAATCCTAGCATTTTGGGAAGCTGAGGTGGGAGGACTGCTTTAGACCAAGAGTTCAAGATCAACCTGACCAACAAAGCAAGACCCCCATCTCTTAAAAAATTAAAAAAAGAGAGACGAGGTCTCACTCTGCCACCCAGGCTGGAGTACAGTGATGCGATCATAGCTCACTACAGCCTCCTCCAGGGCTCAAGTAATCCTCATACCTCAGCCCTCCTGAGTATCTGGGACTACAGGCACTTGCCGCCACACCCAGCTAATTTATTTTTTATTTTTGGTAAAGACAGGGTTTCACTATGTTGCTGAGGCTGGTCTTGAACTGAGCTCAAGCAATTCGTCTGCCTAGGCATCTCAGAGTGCTAGAATTACAGGCATGAGCCACGGCACCCAGTCCACCCCCCATTTCTTTATCTTTATTGTTTTGCAATAAAATTTGGAGAAAAAACAGTGGCGGGAGAGAGAATTTTCTTCTAAATTTATCTAGAGAATAGACATAAAGCAAGAAGCTAATACAAACGAATCTTTACCTTTTTTTAAAAAAAATTAACTTCTAGACTATAACCTCTAGATTTGGAGTATAAAATCCCTATCAGAAGAGCTCATATAGTTAAAAGGAAATGTTAAGAGCTCACATAGTTAAAAGAAAATGTTCCATCCCCATAAAGAGGCTTTCAGAAAGGTATACCAGATTTCACCATTTTCTTTTTTTTTTTTTTTT